GCAAACGGCAGCAAATGACTGCAAGTTGCGAAACTGTGGAAAGTGCGACACAAACTGATGAAGGAGTGTGGAGCTGTATAAAGAAAAATGAGGAGTGATACTGTATACTGCATCTTAATTGTTAAATAGTTACACTCACAATTATTATGATAACTCCCCTGACACATTCAGGGGACCAACACGCGAGTGTGCGTTCCAATTATTAATCTGTATGACAATAAATTTTATTCATGGTGGACGCTAAAATTAACTAGGCAATACCAAAATGAGAACTTAATTACATGACAAATGTAAATTTGATTTATGGTAATTATGCTGCAATCAGGCAACCTGAGCTGCAATGTGCAAGCAGCACCAAACTAATTCACCTGCCACTAAACTCATACATACAAATGAAGTTATCTTTAAAAAAAAAAAAAAAAAAGTATATGAACAGAGATTTAGGCAGCATGAAACAGATAGGGCAATATTACAAGCCTGGGTGCTTCAGGCCAATTAAAGTCATACACATGCATGTGCACGTGCACTCGTGCATATGATAAACTGTACATTTGCAATAACCATAAGTCACGTATAACCTCATATAAGTGAAGTTCATTCTCTGAAGCCAATATATGATGGATCTTGCAGAATAGCAGTTTAATGGTTTCACAACTTGCAGGAACTTTTGCATGACGGCACAATGTATGAAGATTCACGCCTGATGTCTTCACAACTTAAACGTCAGCTTTAAAAAAGGGGGAAAAAACAACCAAATGACTGAAACTACTAAATTAAAATAAGCTGGAGCTGAAAGGCATGCAAATTATGTGAATACGCACACACACACATACACACACACACACGTAAGATAAGAATACTGCACCAAGAGGCCCAAATAGCAGAGCACTTTAATCACAGAGTTCATTTCATTTCCTCTCCTCTCCTTTATCACTGGCTTGGTTCTTATTCATCTTCATAAGAAAGCAGAGGAAAGAGGAGCCAGCTCCCCTAATAGCTCACTGATTTACATGATGAGTGTTTAGCCCCATAGACAAACTCCTGAAAAAGAGGAACAGAGAAAAGGACACACAGAAACCTCCACACACTTTCTCTAATACACACACACACACACACACACGTATATAGAAGAATGTAATTTGATTTCATATTACTAAGACAAAGAATCAGAAGCAGATACACACATACACACTCATCTGTACCCAAACACACACAGACATAAAGAGAACAAACAAGGCAGGCCCTGCTGTAAACAGATGAGTTAGCACTCGCACACTGCTTTGCTTGTTTAGCGTGTAACTCAATTTGAAATGCTAACACTGCCATACGCTCAGGGGTATGCAGTGGCAGGCCAGCATCATCAGCCCACTTTCTAGTAATTTAACTCCACTCTTTCAACGCAGAACACTTGTGCAGTGGCCCCATATTTTACACACACTGAGTAAAATTAATTGGGAATTTTTTTGAGCACACATCATTTGCACGCTGGACCTACTTTGAATTGCAGATGAAGACGAAGGGGGGTGGCTGTAATGTAGCACGCCGTCTTTAAGTGCGTGACTGCATTCGGGTGCATTTTGTTTCTATTTCCGACTATCCAAAATGTGTGAACGCGTGTGTGTATGTGTGTTCTGTAGAGCTAGCAGGAATAATAATGACCTCGCGCTCCTTTATTAGAATCAATCATCAGTTAGAGAGGTGGTGAGTTTGGGGGGGGGGGGGTAATGACAAGGATGAGGAGGATGATGCTAATGTAAATATGGACAGTGGACATGAAATGAAGCTGGCAGCCTCCAGTTTAACTGTGGAAACACTTAAACTATTTTTGTTGTATATTAGCTGTATATTAGCTTAACGGTGAAGTGTCGATATTCAGCCATGCTTATACTAAAACTCGTGATACTACCATTAATCTCACACTAAAACTGGTCAACTAATTCATTAAAAAAAGTTGGAGGTGGAACTGGTGATTAGGCCACAGTAATTTCGATTAAACTCAGTGAACGAGTTATGCAGGACTGACAGCGCCACATTTATGGTTGCTGGCTACCGACAATAACAGGTGGAACTCACAGCGAGGGCTCCCAATTAAAATCAAAATCAACCTTCCTGCTTGTAATTGCTTTTCCACCTTCGCATTGTGTGTGTACGGCGCGTGTGCACATGTTTGCCCGCGCGTGGACGTTTGCGAAGTTGGTACTAAATTTAACGACACTGAAATTTCACAGCCTGGTTTGGCTATTAGACTGGCTCCGAATATTGACTCTTTTAATCCAGTTTGTTATAATTTCAAGTGATTTTTATGGCTTTGTAAAAGTCAAAGAATAAATCCTGCACTTTCCTCCTTGAGTGTGTGTCGGTGGGGGCACCGTGTTTTATTTCTCCTGTGGATACCCGAGTACTTTGTGTTGCTGCAAAGATTAGACTGAGCGCCCAACTCCATCAATATCCATGACTCCTGTATTGCTCACAAACACACACATGCACGGTGATGGAGTGAGCGGAACAGACCTGACACGCTCGCTCACTGCTGAATGGGTTCTCTGATGGACTGAGGCTATTTAGTCACGCGCACACACGCACACACTCAGCTGGTGATGGAGTGAAGCCATTCCCTCTCCTCACCTCATGCCCAGTAGCTGGATGGTAGCCCAGTTAAGACTTGCCAATTGGCTCTTCCGCCAAATCAACCACACAAACTTTTCTGATGAGCTCAGTACTGTACACACACACACACACACACTTTCTCACAAACACGCAGCTTCACACGGCAAGTATTGATTCCCCCTGTAGAGTCATACTGGACACTTTTCCTACAGTTTCACACTTTTCAAGTTTTTTGGTTTTTGAGGGGGGGGCGTTCTCATCCTTTTAAAATGTGGCGTCCTTTGTCATTTGACTTGCCCTTGAGCTTAGGCAGACCCTTAAATTCTCTCATCTCCACCTTTTAATTATCCTGCAGAAACTATTCCACTGTGGATTAATAATATATCATTCCTCTGATTGCTTACATTCTCTTGGTCATAAAATTATCAATTGCGAACTTATAAGAATTAAAAACATTGTAATCGGTTTCATTCTCTCATTAGATCTAAATATTACACATGTCCCTGTGAAACTGCTTCAGCTGACCTCTAATAAACTCTCAACAATAGTCACCTCACAGCACCTGGGTTTTAATCCACCAGCCGCCTGAGGCCTCTCTGTCTCCCTGCGCCTTTGTGGGTTCTCTCAGTGTACTCCAGCTTTCTCCTGCAGTCCAAAGGCCAAAGCTTTTTAGGTTAACTGGTTGCTATAAATTGATGTGAATCGGTGTAAATGGTTGTCTGTCTCTTTGTGTTAGCCCGGTTACAGACTGGCGACCTGTCCAGGGTGTATGCCTCCTCTCACTCAATGACAGCCGTGATAGGCTACCTAAATTGGATAAGTGGAAGAAGATGAATGGGTGGATGGATTGATTCACAGAAACCATATAAATTGTACTAAACCATGGCTTTAACAGAGCCTTATACTTTTGGTCAGACACACTGTTACCTGCTGATGCTATTTTGTGACTTAAAGAGCAGCATCTAAAGGATTCTTAAGGTGCGTCCACACAGGAAGTATTTCATGGCAGCCAGAGAGCAATGGAAGTCAATGAGATTCGATGATGGGTGAAATAACAGCTGGCACAGAGTGGGCAATGTCCCAGGTTTAATTTTCTCTACTTCAGTGCAAGCTACTAAAGCACATACCAGAGAGCAAAGGATACCACTGATTCACATATGACAGCATGGTAATTTCATTAGAGGGATATTTAGGTACCCGGAGTCTGGACTGTCTGCTGGTGATTGACCTTCAGTAATAAAGCAATGTGGGATGAGCATTTACCTTAAAACAAGCTTAAAGACTGGTTCTGTTCTGTTATGCGCCTGCATCTCAAGCACACAGGCCTTCAGTCTGGTGGTCGTGCAAAGGCTTTAAGGTGCAAGATACATCCACAACAAAAAAACTGCACAATTAATTTCTTCTTTCTTTCCATCCATCCTCTTCCACTTATCCAGTTCAGGGTTGGGGGGCTTGTCATAGGCCAATGCAATGCACAACTCCACTCAGAAAGGCCCCTTCTTGTTGTGAAGTGACAGTACTATGTGCTGTGCTGCCCTGCAAAATTTCCCAAAACTCTGGAACAAAGAAGTAAAAAGCTGTAGAAGAACAAGTGCCCCAGAGAAAGGCCAGTCAGGCAAAGGATGGGAGCCATCTCTTCTATCCTTGTTTACTGCCAGTTACTAATGAACTGCCTGCTTCTGGGTGAAAAACTGTACACACGAACATGATTAATATACAGTCAGATGCACTGCAAAATGAGGCAAAAAAAAAAAACAAAAACGCATCCACTCAGCAACCTCTTTAAGGTTTAGTTCAGCGGTTACATCATCAGTTATCGATGCATGGACTGATGGATGGATTTTCTGATTTCACACAAGCAGTCATCCCCAGGTCAGTCCCATCTGCATTAGTGGCATGAACTTTTGATTACAAGACACAGAACAACAGCAAAATCAAAGTATGGTGTCAAATACATAAAGCCTAAAAATCTGCATTGGCAATGACTGGAAGAGTGACTCTGAGAACACCAGTAAATGCTGTCTCGACTCTTACTGACTTTTGTATTAGAACACAGAACAACCTCAAAAAAATAATTACTGTAATCTCACGAAGTTTTCTAAGCATTATTGGTGATAAAAATCACAGAACTGGGAGCAATTTAAATGTTTTCATTCTTTGCAGATATGAAACGCATTCATGACGACTTACTGTCACACACTACACAATCCTAAGGGATAAAAATAAAATGCCCAAATGCTACAATTCAGTAGTGTTTTTATTTTTCTTCTACTCATTTGGCACAGAATGTTGTAGTTTCTTTAGCGAAACCATTACACTGTATTTTTTTAAAGTGAGCAAACCATTCATTCTCTTAAATACTTATCCAGTCCAGGAATAACAAAACTGTAATCATGTAGAACTCAAATCAGCTAAATAAAGTTCCTCTTGCAACCACTTTAGTTTCTCTTTTGTCTCTTTTGGCCTTTTTCTGATCCTTTATCCCCAGTTGTCCTCGCTCTGCAGGAGAGTCGTGTCCTTGGTTAACATTAGTCTCGCTGCTTGCCAGAGGTGATCTCTAGTCCGGTGTTTTCTTGCCTTCCTCGGTCACTCTGGTCCTGCTCCGCTTCCTGTTGCGGCTGTTGCGTTCCAGGTCTCTCCAAACACCAAGGATCACTCTACAGATCATGCACAGCACTGATGAGCAGAATATTCGAGTGTGTTGTGTTGCAAGATGACCTTGCAGCCCCAAGACTTTTCCACTGAATTGATAAGAGTATTCTGGATTTTGACATCAGAGTTTGCAGGATTATTATTAATTGTGTTATTGTCTGTATTTTCTCATGGCTGTAAAATTATATGTATTATTTGCAGAACCTGAGAAATACTGAACAATGTTATCTAATGAGGCTTCGTGAATTAATAAAATGTAGCACAATACTTCTTAAAGTATAAAAAGCAACACGAACTATGCACTGAATTTTTTCTATTGCCTCAAAAACATTATATTAGGGAAAGCAGCGTATTTCCATACCATGAAATTTAATGTAGAGAGCCTGTAAATGTATTAGCTTTCATGCATCTGTGCAGTTCTTTGTATTCTTATGAAATCATAGGAGTGAATTTGTGTGAATGTGTGTGCGACTGAATGAGTGTGTGGGCCTGAGGCAAACTCAAATGAAGCAACACTCAGCAGACACCGCCGCAGGCTAACTTCACATGAGTCTCTTTTGACACACACACGCCTAACCATGGCTTGATGGTAGGTTTCACATTCATTTTGTCAACTGGAAGCTAACAACCACCAGCATGCTGCAGAGAGGGAGGTTAGGCTTTATCAGAGCCCTTCTGAACATCTCTACATTTCAAGTGTGAGGATATAAGGCCGTTAGCCTGCCACTGTGTCACCGAACAATATCTTCACCAGCTCTTTATTACACACTTGCAGGTTGTGTTGCGTAACCCAAGACGCTGCACTTGTGTGCATTTGTTTACCTGTCCGAAAAAACCGACGGTCTCTCCAGGCAGGTAACTGAGAGCCAGACTGCAGTCTGACGATGCCGAGAGGAGGAGGAGCTTATCGCCATGTAAACACATCTCCAGGTGAGTCACGTGGTCGAGGTGTGGATGGAAACTAGATAGCAGTTTTGGGAGTTCTTTGTTGACTCCTTCACCTGGTGTGAGGCAATAATACTGAGGGACAGAGGAACAGATCATTACACAACCGCTGAGCTTTGCCACCCATAGTTACCGTTGCTAAGCTTTCTGTTTTCTCAAATCACACAGCAGGTTACAATGGCAACAGTGGCAGATTTACCACTCTCATTACCACTTCTTGTGTGTTTTATTGGTGACCATAGATTTTGCAGGCAGACATAAAAAATGACTAAAAGACTGAGGTACTTAATTCATATAAAACTGTATGTAGTACATAATAGGTGATTATGGTATGCCAAAAGACTGAGCGAGAAGTGTGTTGTGCATTCTATGGAATGAAACCTCACGAGCTGATGATTTATGTAGAAGCCTGAAATAAAGGAAGATCCTTGATATTGCACTGCAGAAAAGCTAGTTAGTGCTAATATTACAGTGCAGTAAAATTCTGGAAAGATCCGACTTTTTCGAGATGATTTGTGTTGTGAATATTTTTGCTTAACATAGATAACAGAGTGAGATGAATGCTTTTTTCAAAGAAAGACTAAAAAGGGCTATGTTTAGCTGGGGCTCCTGAAGAGTAAACTTTTTAATGACAGAGCTGCCGCAGCTGGAGTGTACAATGAAAGTGAGATCTCACTGTAAAAGGTGACTTTTCCATGATAACCTGTATAACCCACAAAATCATATTAGCTAATGATGTCCTCTTTGGCCCAGTTAGCATTTCCAAGGTTGGTAGTAACCTAGCTGGCCATGAATGCCTCTATTGGCATCTTAAAGCAGATGAAGTACATTTTTAATCAATGTCTGACATTTACTGCTTTGGCTTGTTAGTTTTGCAGAGTAAATAAAACCTCTAAACTTATAACCTGTTAACTGTAACTTATAGGTTACAGTTTATTCACCTGGTGAATCATAGTTTGGTATTTTAATCATTTATATTTGGTCTGTTGAAACTGAAATGAAATGCTTTTATAAAGTGATGATATTGCATAAAGGCTACAAATGGATCATTTTATCCATTCTTAGGTGGTTGCTAGGCAACATTATAATTACATCATTATTTATAGAACCTTTTCAGATAGGAGGAAGTTTCATGTGTTACAATAAGATAACACTGAGGGTACCTAATAACTACAAGCTTTAAGTTCAGTGTTAAGAGTTACAATTTAAGCACAAAACATTTATTTTCAGTTACTTTAAATACTTTAAACTTATTTAACTAAGTTGCACATCATTTTAAGGTGACACCTGCGACTGACCTGAGAAATGTCTGGGCGCACAACTCTGTACTGTGCAATCATGTTAGTTATCCAGCTGATTCTGAGGTGCGCTCAAAACTAGCCGAAGGGACAGAATTTCCACCAGAGCACTGAGATTGCCCAGCTTCAACTATATATACATAAATCTCCATAAATTAAACTGGAAGCCAATTGAGACGTACCCATCTGAATTCATCCCCTTATAAACTGTGACAGAGAGTTGAGCTCTGAATATTGTGGCAATAATACCCGAGAGGGTGTTCTTTTACTGTGATTATGAGCATGACAGTGATGCAGCTATGCTTCATACTGACGGCACGATCCAAGTCTTCATAACAGGAGTCAAAAAGTCGAAAGGCCTCTCTGAGGTATGAAAACTCTTCAGTGACCAAACGCGTGGGACATTCTCGTGTGATGAACTGAATCTCAGTGGACGTGGATGACATTACTGATGATGTGATGACTCCTCATCACTCCTCTTTTAATCGAGGTGGTCTACAAAAACAATATCTTTTGTTTAAAAAAGGAATCGATTACAAATCTCATCCATTTCTAATGGCCTCTACTGCTTTAAAACAATATTTTAAAAAAAACCCAAAGAGGATAGAGGCATTACCTCGCTCCACTAATCCATCAGGGGAGATTTTCTAAATGATTGACTGTCTTCACTGTACTCCAGCAAGCTGCTGAGACATCACAATGACAGGCAGGGCTGTCATTTTCAGAGTGAACAACACGCTTTGATTTAATGGAAATATTCAGGGTCCACTCTTTCTTCACTGTCTATTAAAGTCTGCCTCTTGATCTCCTGTCCCACCCTCGGGCTCTGTTTTCATCAGTTTCCGTCATTTTCTCTTTTTTACTCCTTTTTTTTAACACCACAATATACAAAATTGTGCACAAACCCACCTTCACGTCCCATATCTTGACTGTCCCTTCCCTGTCAGCTGTGGTTAAATATTCTCCACAGGGACTGACAGCTATTACAATAGATCCCAGGTCCCCTTCGTGGGCCGTGAACTGTCCTACCAGACGGGCGTGCTGGGTGCTCCAGAGCCTGACCGTACCTGAACCCCCGCAGGACACCAAATCTGCAGCGCCTGATGGAAATGCAGAAATAGAAATGGCTGCAATAACCAGAGGCATCGGTTATTTTAGACGTGTGTTTGGACTAGATTTGAAAAAGAAAACGCACGCTGTGGTAGCAACACCACAAGTACCAATAGGAGAAAGTCAAACAGAGTTACAATAAGTCAGTTAGAGTGTACCCATGTGGTCTAAAATGTAATCAAAATCAATTATGGATTAAAAATGCTCATATTGTTGCTAAGTGGCAATCTCAAACATCCACGATACTGAAAAAAGAAAAAAGAAAAAAGATCAGCAACATATTTCATTAAGCACTGAAATAGTCAAATTAGTAAGAAATCTGTACAAGTTCTGACTGACAATAAGATTTTTTTGGTCAACAATAAACATGGCCAGGGCTTCCTTTGTTTAGTTCTCCCTGGATCTGGCAACCCATAGAAAAAACTGCTCCACTAACATCATCAACAGAGCCACATACCTCATTGCTACAGCAAACCCGAGCAGCAGCAGCAGGCACAGAGGCCGATCATGTTTTTTTTGTTTTTAAAGCACCTAACAGCTACAGCTCAAAGCAGCAGCAGCTACTTAACAGCAAGAATAAATCTAAATGGATTTAAAAAGTCAAGGGACCAGGGAATTTTTTAAATAAATACAGGAAAGTAAACTTTGGCAGGAAAGTAGTTACAAAACTTGCTACATCAAAGGATCAGTGATGTGCAAATGCTGTACAGTATTTCCACACAGCCTTACTGTATTTGAAATATGTAAACACCAGACACACAATCTGTGTAAAACATCCTTAAAAAAATAAAAAAAAGAATAAATGCAAGGCCATATATTCAGCAGATCTGGCATTTTAAAATGTAGAACGCCTTTAAAGTTACTTCATTGTTTGCATCAGCTTCCGCTCTTGGTTTTGCAGGCACGTCAAACTACAACACTTTTACAGCAAGCATGCTTAAAGAGGCTCACAGCAAGAAGGTGAAATTAGCTGATTTGCAAATGCAATGATTTATTGTTAGGAGAAAAGTTAGAAAAGTCAAAATACAGAATTTGTTTGGGTGAAAATAGTTTTCTCTCCACTCTCTCTCAGCTGACATTTAATACTGAGCTGAGGCTGCCCCACAGCGTTACACAAACATACAGCCTCCCACATCTTTTAGGACTTACTTTAAATAACACTTTAAAGAGTCCACAATCTATACCTGCAGTTGTTACAGATGTGCGTCCTGGAATGAAGAACAGTCTGGTGATGGCATCGCAGCTCTCCGAGTCCTCTGTCATTCAAAAGCACGTTGAGAAGTGAGAAGTGGGGAAACGACCCACAGTGTCAGAGTTGAGAACGAGGAACAGAAGAAAAAGCAAACAGAAACAGGCAAAAAAATTAACTTAATTTCTCCTTGTTTTAAAGATTTTTGGAAGAATTAACGTCTAATAATAATTACAGAAACGACGGTTTGAATGTGTTTGCAGCTGCTGTCGTTGAAAGTGGCACCTTGCTGCTTCTTGCAGTCTTCCCCTTCGTCATGTGGCCGGAGTTTCCTCAAAGCTTTTTCTGTGCTGCTGTTCCACACTATGATCTCGCCATGGTAGCTTCCTACTCACATCAGAAGAGGGACAAAACACAGAGGAAGAACTTGGCAACAACAACAAAAAAACCTTCTAAAAACGGTACTTTGCTTCATGGCAGTATATAGTAAACTTCACCGCCTGTGCTTTACAAGCTCTTGTGCTTACCAAGTGTCTTCACAGTAAAAGAAATACAAAGACTATACACACACACACACAAAAGAAAACTTTTTATCAACACACACTTACTTTCTTATCTTGCTGCTGAATCATGCAAGCTGGCCACTAAAAACTTCTCTAAAGATAAAGTTCAACATCTGTCCCCAGCTACCATCTGTTCCAACACTCAACCCCTAACTTTTACTGCAAGAAGAAGTGCTTTTGAAGTAATCTACATTATATATAAGCAAGAGCACATGCATGGCAATGTGTTTGTCAAAAACGGCAGGAATCTCATCAGGTCGCTCAACAGTCCAACAGCAGGACTTAATGAGATGTGTGAGGAGTGTGTTGGCTATGGGAGGTGAGTGTGTGTGAGCAATAGGAGGTATAAAGTTTATGAGAGTGCCAGTCTGCTGCATTATTCATGCAGCCCAGGGCCAGCTTCTGTATTTCAAGTGACTTTTATCATGTCCTGTGTGTGTGTGTGTGTGTGTGTGTGTGTGTGTGTGTGTGTGTGTGTGTGTGTACGGCTGAGACAGAGAGGGTCAGAGAGAATGAGAGCAGATTTCTGCATCATCTACACAATGTTGAGCTTTAAGATGTAGATGCTTTAATCCCCCTCATTAATTTTTAAAATCACTTTGATGCACTTAGCCTGCACAATTTTGACAACATACATAGAGTACACATCACAGTGCATATTTAAACAGGGGATAATAACAAGAAATACAAAGAAGTACGTACACAAAATAGTACTACACAGATGTATCGCTGCACAGCAATGTGCAAAAGTCTTGAGCCATCTCTCATCTTTTTATACCAAAAAAAGAGCTGCAGCAATTTATTGAAAAGTGCACAAACGTAGGTGGAGATACAACATATAATAAGAAAAGCGTTTGCACGGTTTGTCATTTTAACAAACTCAAAAGTCAGTATTTGGTATGACCACCTTTATTCTGCAACACAGCCGGAACTCCCAGTGGTGGCAGAAAGAGTTTGCTTAAATGGATCATCAAATGGAAGGGCTGTGTTTGGGATATTACTGGAGGAGAATGGGTTGTCTGTCTAACGTTGCTTACAGGCTTCGCTCCATTAGCAGCAGAATAGCGTCAATGGGAGCAGCAGTGATGGTAGTAGATGTACCGTAGTGTCAAGAATAGCTCTAACACCTGTAGTCTGAACTGCAGCTCTATACTTTAGTACTATTATACTTCTGACTGCAGTGTCAGAGTTAGTAACAGCAGCAGTGACTGGCAGACGTACAATTCTGTGCAAAAACTTCTAGTCACCCTTCGTTGCTTATATTTTGCTCAGAAAATGGGAAATGGGTGGTGATTTATTAAAATGTATGCAAACTGTCAAATGCTGAAAGTCAGTATTTGTTATGACCACCTTTATTCTTCAACACAACCCTAAATCTCTTAGGCAGCTTTCTTGTCATTTCTTTAAGGTGTCTTCAGGAATAGTTCTCCAGGCTTCTTAGCGGACATTCAAAGCTCTTCTTTGGACGTCACCTGCCTTTTGTTCCGCTCTCTGTCCACATGATCTACACTGCTTCGCTAATGTTGAGGTTCAGGCTCTGGGGAGACTGATAGAGCTTAACTGTGTCCTTTTCTATCCAGGAATGCTTTTAATACTTTGAAATGTATTGAAACTCATTGTCAGCAAATAAAAATGAGAACTAATCAGAACTAAATAAGTTTTGCATTAAAATGAGTTTGGAAGTGAGTGAACTGATCGGTAGTAATCTGCAGTATGGTTAGATGCGCACATTTGATCTGCCGCCAAAAAACAGGAAGGGGGAAGCTCCCGGATAAAGTGTAAAGCTTTGTAAAGTGTGTGGAGAAACTCTCACCGGTAAAAACACAACAACTGTTATACGTTACATTTTAGTTGATTGAGTGAACTGTAGATTTAGTCTACAGTTGATTCATGGTATTTGGTTGACTAAAACGAAATCAGAAATAGCTGTCAAAGTTAATGCTGGTGTTAATTACCTAAACTGCTCATGAAAGAGCCCAGAACATGTGTCACAGATGGCTGTAGGCACTCACTGTGCTACGTCTCTCCTGAACTTTCCCAAACATACTGATGATTATTTGTCTTTGTAGATGTAACTAAAGAAACCAGAGGAAAACGTGTTTTTGTGACAGGTTGCTAGTAACAAAGACAAAAGACAATTTTAAAATGATTCTTTGTTAAGTGGTCTAAGTGTAGACACAACACCGGTTCTCTTAGGTTTGATGCCTTTTTAGGCTTGAGTGATTCATAGATGAGATCAAAAAACAAAACAGTCCTCTGAATGTGGTCGGGCACAAGGACGGGACTAAAAATGAATGAAAAAGCAGCCAAAGTCTAAAGAAAAAATTTAAAAGATCCTCAGAAATCCTGGACAACTATTGCTCAAGACCATTTTAAACATTTACAAGAAAGTCTTGGTCCTTGGAGCACAAATATAAAGAAATGAGGGGTTGCCCGAAACTTTTGTTCAGTTTTGTAAAACATGATTTTGTTTTTAAAAAGATTGATTGATTTGGCAGAAACAAAGATGTTATACTCATTGTATTTTTGGCGAATACGCTCAAGCCCACAAATGGCTACAGAGGTCAGATGAGTTTTTAGCTAGTTTTTACCATTACAGAGCCTGTGCTACTGCTGTCAGTGCCAGCATGGAGCCAGTTTGCCTTGGATGCCTTGTGAGAGCGAGCTCACATTTTGACAGGTTTGACAAGTAATTTCCTTGATATGAAAATCATTGCAGACAGAATCTGTCTGGTACATCAGCCAGTCATTAGTGAATTTCTCGCGGCAGCGCCTCCCATGTTTATTAAAATCAGCTTTGGGCCCTGCAAATTTGTGGTGCCAGCTTCTTTTTTTTTTTGGTGGAAGTCCATGGAACCTGTTGCAGTTAACCCACCAGCACAAGTTCTGACTGTGGTAAAAAGTTCTGACTCCACCGAGTCATTTTTGAACTTCCATTCCTCTGCCTCAGTTAATGCCAACTCAAGCGGCATCACTTGATTTAATATCAATGATATTAAATATTGTTTACCATTTTTCCCCCAATAGATTTATATATACACAAAAAGAGCCCCCTCTGCTCAAAAAAAATAAATATTTCATTGTTGTCATCACGTCCTTTGATTTCTGCGCTTGCTATTTCTATTTGTTGCAAAACATTTTGGCCATTCATCAAACTTCAGATTAGTTGGTGACTGGTTGCTTGGAAGTTTTTCATTCACAAAGGATTAAGGGATTCAAGGAAGGAAGGAAAAGTGAAAAGGGGGGTTAGACTGAAGGAGATACACAGAACCCATATATCCTGCTGTGTTTGTGTGCGCCGAAATGCACGTGTGTGTGTGTGTGCGCGCGTGCATGTGTGTGTGTGTGAGTGAGAAGTCAAGCAGAACCTAGCAAACACTGAATATGGATGAGGAGGCCTCAGTCCCCCATCAACCCAATGTTCCTGCTACAACTTGATTCAACTCGAGACCCAAACTAACAGATGCGTGCGCACACACACATACACACACACTCACAAAAATAATATACACAAACACAGACACGTGCACCGTCTCCTAAGCAGGTGCGAGGCCAAATAGAACTTTAAATTGACTTTTCTCACTGGTGGCCATGATGCCACCACTGCCTTCACTCGGCGGCACAAGCGCATAACTTGGCAGCACCGATGCTTTGATGTGAAAAGAGCATTACTCACTACAACCCCGAAGAAATATGCAGCCAACTGAAACTAATGCGTCATCGCTTTTAGATGCCGCCTTTTTGCTCGGTGGATTTGTCAAAGAAAGAATTTGCAACTCCAAAAAAAACAAAAGTTAATGTAGAAAATAGCGCACAGTTCTCATGCACCTTTTACTTTAATGTGCGAGAAGATAAGCGTGGAAATGCAGGAAATAGCAATGCGAATGCGATTCACCCTTTTTTTTCCTTTACCCCCTCCCTTTCATTCATTTTTTTTCTCCATCCCTTTCATATGCCCAAAGGCCAGGGGGGGAGAGTAACACAGAGGATATTCAAATGTAGGAGGAGTTAGGAATGAATTACACCATTTTATGAATTTTTTGGACAAGATGTTAGCAGATGTGGATATCCCAGCACCTCTGATGATGAAAAGCTGTCGCAAAGGTTATGTTTTTGAATCTTCCCCCCAGCTTAACGCTTCCTCCTTCTAGACGTTAAAGCACTGAAGCTCAAAATATAAAAAATGTGATTTATGAGGTGACTCATTTGCATTCAGCCTGCACATTTCCAAAGTTTTTTCTTAAAATATACAAGCACCCTCCCTGCAGCCGTACAACATGCACGCACAGACAGACACATAGATGCTCGAAAGGCAGAAACACATTCATTTCACCCTTGCTTCCACTGCGAGAGTTCTAATAAACATAATTCAAATTGGGCATTTTGAATTAAATTGGAGGTGGAGGGAGCAGTGCAATGCGGGGCTATGTGTAGATGGAGGGGGGTGGGCAGTCTAAAGTACAGAGATTAGATTTAAAAAATGGATAAATAAATTGATGGCGGGGGACTGAGCACGGGGAAAGAAATTGCACAGCGAACTTTGAAGAAGTTTCCAAGTTTCTAAAGTAGCTCCTGAATCGTGCTTTTTGTTCTAGCTCCAACTATTCATTTCCTTCCAAACCATTTCTCCCTCCAGCTTTGAGAATACCCCTCTTATCTACCTTTCCACCTCCATCCCTCACTTTATCGCTCTCAGTACTTATCTGTGGGCTTGATCTGTCTCAGAAGGCCAGAGAGGGGCCCTGCAGTTTGTGTCTGCACGCTGCTCACACAGACTGGTAAACTGCAGCTGAACTTTCAATACGTGAGCCAAAGTGATACAACTTTACAAAGTGAAGAGCATACTGGGGCAAATTGGGTGCAGAGTGTTTGCAGTTTGAGGGTTATACAAGTGGACCAGTGGCTGGAGGATTGCCAGTTCAATCCCCCAGGCAAAAAAAAAAAAAAAATCTTAGAAAGTGATGAGTACTGAGGGGTCATGCCGACATTTCAAAGCAAGCCGTCTTCACATGCTAAAAACCATGACAGAGCCGTTAATTCTATGTATTTGTCCATGTAAAGAGCAGCTACTTGGTTTCTCTGTTAATGATGGCTGATACTCAGTGTGACAGCTTGGCAGATGTGATCAAGTGCCAAGGAGGGAGGGGGGATTGCAAGGTCCACAAGAAGCTTAGAAGCTTCCTTTTTTTTTTTCTTTTTTTTTTAAATCATGCATAAAAACTTTGGAAAAAATGTTTTTGAAGAGTTCACATGAACTCGAAGAAGTGGGATGAAAAATAGAGTGATTGGAAGACGAACGCTTCTCGTCTGCTCTTCCATTAGCCAGAGGCGCCCAGTGTTTCTGCATTTTAATAAGCGCTGGTGTGATTTTAGGACACGAGTCATTTGCAGCTCACGCCGCTGAGTCCATGCACTAATCAGCTGCCAAATCATTTTGATGGTAACGCCGGAAAATGTTCTTCAGTGTTCAGGGTTTTTTTTTTTCTTCACGTTTTGTGCAACAGTTCTACCCTCAGTGAGGTACTGAGTAATTGTTTCTCCAAGGACTCAGGGAGGGAGAGGCAGAGAGAATCAGAATTAGAAAATACGAGTGTAGAAACAGAATGTGAAAAGAGAACTGCTTGTAACTTTGTTATTGGGAATAGATCTTGAGCTTATTGGATGAACCAGTGCAGAGCCTGTTTAAACAGTGCCTGTAAGAACAGGTTGATTGCGTAGCCTCCAGTATTAACACTTGAGTTTTCTTAATGGCGTCATCTAACCATTTCATCCAAACACCAATTCTGCAGATTTAGAAAACTACAAACTTAAATTAGCTGTCGCCCTTATTAGGTATAACCAGACTGTTACATTACGGTGGGTTTTAATGTGGCTCCTGCTGATTGTTAGTTTTAAAAACATTCATTCACTGATTAGATGGTTAATGATTTTTATTAATTAATTAATAATGAGAATTCAGAGTGAAATTCTTAACATCTGTCACCACTGGCTCACATCCTCTTGTCTTTTTGGCAGTGACACCATCTCCAAACCCTGCATCCACCCTCCACTCACTCCACCCTGTCTGCACTGTCTTCTTTACTGCTCTGTGAGTGCACTGAGTGGCTTTGGATGGTTAGAAACTCATCCACCTTCACTACCTCTGCCCTTTGCAGGTTCTGCTTTGTATAACCCACACGTAATTGTGAATGTATGTTTTAGGTGTCTTATCAGAAAAATATCAGTGTTCAAATACAAAAAAAAGTTGTTTAATTACTGCATGTCGCAGAAAAAAAGCATCATAGCTGACTGTTGGTCACTAGTCAACATTCTAGTATCTTTTTCGTTCACTGTTAGTTGCTTAGTTTATTTATAAACTGTAAATCTGTTGCACCTGCATTTGTTTGGCGAGGGACAGGGGCAAAAGCTTTTGACCACCTACACACTGACATCAGTATGAGCTTTGATGGCGTTCCATTCTAAATCCATAGGTATTAATGTGGAGTCCGTCCCACCTTTGGAGCTTTAATAGCTTCCACTCTTCTGGGGAGGTTTTCCGCAAGATTTTGGAGTGTATCTGTGGGAATCTCAGCCCATTTATCCAGATCATTTGTGAGATCAGACAGCTGCTGGAGGGGAAGTGCTTGGCTTGCAGTAATTCTAGTTCATCTCAGAGGTGTTTGATGGGGTTGAGATCAGGGCTTTGTGCGAGCCAGTCAAGTTCTTCTACACCAGGCTCATTCAACCATGCCTTTATGGATCTACCTTTGTGCACTGGGGCATAGTCACGCTGGAAAGGAAAAGACCCCACCCAATCTGCTGACACAAACCTGGAAGATTGCGATTTATTGGGCAAAGGATCAATTTAACCAATAAAGGAAAACTGCTTTCAAAAGATAGTTTCTGTTTTTTATGAGAAACACTCGAGTGAAAAGCACACACGAGGGGAAAAAAGGGTTATGCTTGTAAAATTATGTGGTCCTCCAAACTGCTAGATGTCAGTCTCTGCCAGTCTCATATGACAATCTGAAGTGGAAAAAACTTATGAAACAAAATCATAATCAGCCAATCAAAAGTGCATCTGTGCATTTTTAGTTTTTTCACTTAAAAAAAAACAAACACACTTCTTTCATTTCATCTCAGTTTATGAGTCCCTGTGTCACCTGTCTGTGTTTGAAGCCCCTCCCCTCCACACTCAGAGCGCAGACAGACATGCAGGGATTTCTTCACTTTCTAGTGAGTTGCAGTACTGACAGGAACACGTGTGAGGGTTTTTTGTCCTCATTATACTTGACGACCTTTCCAGTTTACTTGCTTCTAATTGCAAATTTAATTAAGATGGAAATGGCAAATTAAGGCATTCTCACATTTAAAGGTTTCGGTCTGTGGTGGAGGCAAATGTCAGCCCACAACAGAGAAAATGGAAGCTGTTGTGCTTGCTGTTGAGTAATGTGGCTTGCACCAACAAAGGCCAACAGGGGAGAACACCGACTTAAAAGGGCCTGGCAGGTCTACTGTATCTGCCACATGGGGAGTTTCTAATTAGGGTATTTTCACTTCACTTT